CTCCCCTCCCCTCTCCTCTCCTCTCCTCTCTATAAATGTATGTAGGAAGACAGACAGACAAAGAAAGAGGGAGACAGAGGCAGACAGACAGTCTTTGAGAAAGTCAGTCCTCAGGAAGTTTCCAGGTTAGCTCACACGTAACACACTCTCTTTAGTCTCGCCTAAGCCAGATGCCGTGAGTAACAGCAGTGTGCACTCGTCCCATACGCAGACAGCAGAGAAAGAGAGGGACTGACCGCCTTTGTTAGGCGATTCCTAGTGCTGCCGAGGTGGTCACCAATGTGCCAGGGCACAATTTTCCAGTGTGCCTTGCAGAAGGCGGGCTAAGATCACATCCCAGGTGCAGCACATACCCATGTGCACTGCTCCTATGTACATATACCCATGGGGAAAAACTCCTGGAGGGCGAGGGCACCGCAGCCACCCCGCTGCAGCAAGGCTCACCTTGGTGATGCCCAGGGCCCCCACATTCTCGCTGTACGACGTGGTGCCATTCCCAGTCCCCCAGGCCCCAGCCAGGAGGCAGCCAATGCCTTCCACCCCGATCCCACGGCTGATGGCATGCTTTGGTGGCGGCGGAGCCCCAGACAGGCGAGCGCAGGCGTAGTAATCTCCCACGGACTCCAGCATGGAGGAAATCACCCCAGCCAAGATGCCGAATATCCCAGCCAGGCTGACGGTTGGCAGTCCCCACTGGCCTGCAAGTAAAGAGTTCAGGTCGGTGGGGTGCATTTGCCCTGAAATCTATTGTGGAGAGGGAAGAACAGCAAGGGCGCTTGTGGGTGTTCACCTGATTTTTGGCATCTCATCTCTCCCTACTAACCATAAGCAGAGGTGCAAGCTGGAGCAGGGAGCAGCGCAGCGGGATGGGGAAACGGGGGCAGCGGTACCTGGGTAAGGCAGCCGAAACCAGGGAGCCTGGGACAAAACATCCCCACGGGTGTCCGTCCGGGCCAGGTGGCCATAGGCTGTAGGGTCCGCAGGGAGGACGTCAGTCACCGTCAGCACGTAGCAGAGCAGCCAGCTCAGGGAGAGCCCCAGCAGCACCTGCCCATCACATCATATGCAGCAGTGAGGTTTGGTTAGGGCATGGCCACAGCTCTGGCACAGTTGTGGGAGACAAAGTGTTTCCCTGCCTGACCCATTTCCCTGAACATGGGATGGAGGCAGAGGGATGGCAGGGGGTCCTGGTGGCCCTCCTTCCCACCCCACAGGCAGGGCCGTGGGGACCTTCTTTCCCTCTGGTCCCTCACCACACAGGCTAGGCTGGGAAGCACTAACTCAACTGGACTCGAATGGAAAGAGCCCAGACAGCCTGGGGTGGGTGAGACCAGTCCCTCTGCTATGACCACTGGGTCTCCAGCAAGCCAAACATACCGGGAAGATCTGGAAGAGGTAGACCGGGGAAAGGTGGCACTTCTTGCCTCTCTGGTAAGACGGCAGCGGCACAGGGACATCTTTCAGGTACTGAGAGAACAGAACTATGAAAGCAATAGTCCTAGGAGGAGGGAAAACCAGACCATGAGACAAAGTGGGTGCTGAGCTGCCCACTTGTCCCTACATTAACTGAAGACCTGCTACCTGAGGACCCAGGACTCCAGAGGACCCCAAATAACAGGCTCTCAGCACCAGAGGGTGGCTCCCCCCTCCAGCAGGCCTAGGGTGGAACAAGCTTTCTATCAGACTCCTACCAACAGCTCTGCTGCATTTGCAAATATTTTGTTTCCCATTTTGTTTCGAAACCGACCCCCCAGATGGTTCATCACTGAGTATGACACAGTTTCCAGAGCTGAAAAATGACACTTGAGTAAAGGAAAAACCTGAGAGACGTGCAAGGTCCAAGCAAGCTATGTAGGAAACTGTCCCTGAAACTCTGTGTAATTCAGATATACTGGAAATACAGGATTTATTGGTTTCCTGATTTTAGGTTTACCTATGCTGCTCTGCAAGTGGCAAAAAGCTCCTACATGGCACAGAGAAAAGAAAGAGGATTTGATTTGGCTGTGCAAGATCTTGAAAGAAAAAAAAATGCACCCACAAAGCCCTCCCAGACAGCTAAGAAGGAGAGGCATGGCTGTCCAATCTGCGAGGGCTGTACAGCATAGGGGTCCTTCAAGGCAGGGGTGCTCACCGGCAGGACCCAGGGCACATTCTGGTGGAAGCAACCACAAGGCGCAGCTCGTCTCCCATCCCTCATGTAGGACACATCTCCTGTGGATGGCAGCACAGCTGGGTGCACTCACAACAAGCCTTATCTGCCCCCCACGCATCCTCCCCCCAGAAAGGGGAACCAGATGAAGCTGAAGGCTGCCATATGCAGCAAGAGGGCAGGGACTGGGCACCCAGCCTTGATTGCTGAGCTGGTAGAAGACCTTGGACATTTTCCTTCTATGTTAACCAGGCCTCTGAAGAGTTCCTCATTTGTTAATAACAAGTTTAAATTGTATACATTAAGTGAATTAACCTGAATAGGTTTTTGTGAGAAAACAATTGCACCAGCTGAAGCAGACTGACAATGCAGGGGAAAATGGTAGTTTTCCATGCGTGAAATGGTGTCAAGCTATAGGTGCAATATTCACGGGCAGACAGAATACAGCAGTGCAAAGGAAACACTAACTTCACCTCTCTTGAAAGGCACACCGTGACATACAGCCAAAGGTTATATCAATCACAATTCAAAGCACTGAATGACTGGAGGCAGCAAGTTTGAGGAGGAACTGGTTTCCATGCATGGTTTCTAAAGCTACAGAGGCCAGATAGACCTGCGTCAGTGCACATTTTGTGCATTTGCGTTAACAAAGGTGCTCGGCAGCCTTATGAATCACTGCAGAGCCCTTGCCTATCTTGGGTAGAGCCCTCGTCTATCTTGGGTAGGCGTCGCTGCTTATTATTCAGGTTGGCTGGCACATTCCATTAACAAACTCTATTTTCAGCTGCTTATAATTCTGCCTAACTTTACCCATTCAGGATGAAAATTCCCATGGAAAACATCTGCCTCGAGCCAAATATTTCTGGAAAAACATATCCCAAACCTATTTCAGAGAGTAATGTTCAGGAAATACGCACAGTATAGCCTGTATTGAGAAGGTCATTTTACCTTGAGCAGTAGCAGGATCTGCTTATGACCTGGGGCAGAATTTGAGATTTAGTAGAACTTGTTCTTTGGGGTGAGGGATACTGCTCTTTCTCACAAAAATCTGCTCAACTATGATCAGCCTGTGATAATCATTCAGCCCAGGTCCCAAGCAGCCAGCAGAAACATCTCAGGCTTTAGGTTTTGCAGCCCATAAAGGTTCCAAGCTTTCAGAGTACATCCAGGCCTTGCCCAGTGATGACCTGCGATGCACCAGCACCAGGGAGCAAATGATCACACACTAGACCAGTTTCTTGAGGCAACAGCGGGTATTACCCATCATGGGGGCTCGAGATGTGCTGGGATTTGATGGGGCTGGACTGCGCATCTCATGTCTTACGCCTTCTCCATCACCTCTCTCTCCCTTTCCTTAATGGCACCCACACAGAGCATGGAGGAGGCAGCAAAAGAGGACACAAAGTCAGACAGCTCAGAGCACATTTCTCAGGTTGGGGCTAAATTGTCTGAGTCATGAAAGAAAGGACTGGGATTAGCAGGGGTAGAAGATGGGACAGAAATTAACAGGACAGGAAGGGTGACCAGGGTTGAGAATAGGGACACAGGCTGCAGGGCTGGGACAGCACTAATGGAGCAGCACAGTTGGCCAAAGAGGTCAAGCAAGGGACTGAGGTTAGGAGCCGGTGTCTGTAGAACGGAGGCAGAAGAAGGAAATAGTCCAGACAAGGATATACAGTTCGAAGGGAAAATTCAGACTGGCTAAGCAAAGGGGCTGGGACAAATCATCAGAGCTGGAGAACAGGACAACGAGCTGGAGATGTGGTGGGAGAAACAATGATGAAAGGAAAGCTGGGGGGAAGGCAGGGTTTGGGTTCTTAGTGGATGCTGGTGGAAGATATCAGTTATCAGGAAGATGTCAGGTGAGGAACTGGAGAGGTGGAGAAGAAAAGTGGCATTTGGGCCCTAGGAGGGCAGGTGCAGGGACGAGAAGAGAATGAGAGAGAGGTGGACTTGAGCATGTCGCCACAAGAGCATGTTGCCTTCCTGGGACTGCAGTCAAGCCTGGCCCCTGAGTCTCCAAAGGCAGCTCTGATAGCACTAGCAAACTGATGGGAGCCCCTGGCAAGGATAACAACCTACTCCTGCTGCATGTTATCCCAAGCTGAAGCCTGCATTAGGGATCTAAAAGTGCCAAATCTGCAGCAGAACCATGCAGTGGCATTTTTACTTTTTTAATTCATTTCTGAAATATCAAGGAAATCCTGCCACCAAGCACACTCATACATTCATGCACAAGGACACGCACACAAATATCCCTGAAAGAACACTCAATGCTGCAAAGCCACATTCCAGAGCCCCCCCCTCAGGCCCTCTTTGGAGAAAACAATTCCTCCTTGTCATGTGAAAACAATACATAAAGCACCAGCTATTTTAACTCAAGGTATACCTAACTCTGAGTGCTCAACCTTGTCATTTTAGGAATGTCTTTTTAACTTAAGTAATGGGTGTGTAAGACAGTGTGAGTAGACAACTGTGATGGAGATTGCTCCCAGGAGCCACACACAGAAAAAACTTCTTTCTCTACTGACCTATGAACTTCAGATTTTCACAAAATCATATTTTTTAACTTAGTTTGTGCTTTCGCTTTGTTGCTGAGGGCTCTAAGATCCTAGGGGGGAAACTATGACATGATGCTGTCTCGCACAAGCCCGCTGCATGTTAGTGCTCAACAAATAACCTCGAACCCAGGGGAACCCTGCTGCAGACTGCAATAAGTGGTTTCATATTAGAGGTAGGCAGTTTGTGTACGCTCAGCTTTCCCACGGGGAAGCGAGGCTTACATGAATGCTATGCCCCAGTGCTGCCCAGCGTCGTCCCCAGCTGAGTCAAAGAGAGGTAGGGCAACCAAGGTGATGGTGGGGGCAATTGTCAGGGGGCCGATGAACCTCATCAGAAATCCAATCAGGCCAGAAAATCCAACGAAGATTTGAAAGCAGGAAGCTACAAGGATAGCTCCTTGCACCTGGAAAAATGGAGGAAGACAGCAGAGGTTGAAAGGAGCTCCAGTTGTTGAGCCTTTTCTTCATAAGTCAGTGCAAAACCAGTGTGAGAGCCAAGCTCAGCCTCCAGTGACAGACCAGCACAGAGGCTTCCCACTGACTACAGCAAAGCCTGGCTGAGTATCATGTTTGGGGAAGGACCACAAAGTACCAACACACCAACTCCCCCCTTGGGTGCTGGATTTAGTCGTCAACAGAGCTAATTTTGTTCTAGAGACCCCATTCTCCTTGGCCTCTTGGGCAACCCAAGCTTGCATCATCTTCCCTGTACGCTCTCTTCCTGCTTCCCCAAAATGCACAGGGAAAGCTCTTGCCTCAAAAATGGGAGCAGGGCTATGGTCTCCACTCATCTCCCATCTGGGAACGTCTTGGGGCACTTCAGCACACTGGTGGGGCAGGTGAGTCATTACAGCCTCTGTTTTTTTCTAAGTATTGGTTTCCATCCAGGGACATATTTATCACCCTGAACTTTCATAGAATCACAGAATAGTTTGGGTTGGAAGGGATTTTTAAAGGTCATCTAGTCCAAGCCCCCTGCAGTGAGCAGGGACATCTTTAGCTCAATCAGGTTGCTCAGAGCCCTGTCCAACCTGACCTTGAAGGTTTCCAGGGATGGGGCTTCTACCACCTCTCTGGGCAGCCTGTTCCTGTGTTTCAACACCCTCATTGTAAAAAATATCTTCTTTATATCTAGTCTGAATCTACCCTGTATTTGACAATCACTGCTAAATAGCCAGCAATTACATCCTGAAATGCTGTTAGTTGCTCATGTCAGCTCCAGGCAGGGGACTCAAGGGTGAGGCTGCTCTCTGCCTTCGCAGATTTGGTGATAAAGGCAGGATGGGTCCTCTGTGGGTGCTTAGCACTTTCCCACCCTCAGCTCCAAAGGGCAGAGAAACACAGCATCCAGCCTGAAAGGAGAAGGCTGCAGTGCCCTTGTTGTAGATTTACATGTATCAATAGGGAGGGCAGCTTGTGCTGCACAGCAAATCCTTCATGAGCTCACAACACTTCCCCAGTGCTTTGCAAATCACCTCAATATATGGATTGACAGAGACAAATTTAGCCACTTATTCTGATATGGCAATAGATGTAGGACAAGGCAGTGAGATCCCTGACCCTTCCTCCTGTCTTTTGACTACCTAAGAATGCACTTTTCCTTAATATTTATAGTAAATTCTGTCCTTGCATTTCTTTTTACTAGGTTTCCAGTGCTTAGAAAGGTTCCCTTCCTTGGAAACATCTTCTCTCCCTTCCTTCCTCAAGGCTTACCATGCTTCATGAAGAAGGGATCTGGCTGGACCAGTTGGAATTTTGCAGGTACCATAAGTCACCCAAGGGACTGCATGTCCCCTGTTCAGTAGCAGTAAAGCACCTGCTTTTCTGCCAGAGACTAGATGCTTAGGAAGCTGCAACAGAGTGAGCACCAAGGTCCATTGGGGATGGTGGGTTCTCCAGCACTGATGGCCCTGCCATGGTCAGGTGCTTTTCCAAAAGCAAACAGCCCTGATACAGAGTGGGTGCTACTGAAAATGTAATGTACCTCTCGCATTCGCGTCTGCCAGACTTCGGTGAACTCTGGTGAAGAGACATTCACCAGGGTGGCATTCTGTGTCCATGCAGGGCATTTCCACTTGGGGAGAGACAGCATGGCCAGGGTGGGAGTCAGGAATGCAAAAGTCCCCCCTTGAATAATAGGCAACCTGGAAGGAGAGCAGAGAGAAAAACAAGTGAGAATGCTAGAGACCCAGCTCCTTAGGGGTGAGAGAAAGGAAAGCAAAATAAATTTTGAAATTGGCCCATGGCCTCTGGCAGTATCTTTTGAAATGTTCTGGCAGGTCTCCATCACTGACCACAGGTGGGAATCGCTGCCCATTGCACTCAAGAGCAATGACCTGGGCAGGGGAGAGCTCAAATTCAAACATCAGCAATGGAGGGGAATATCCATGCTGGAGTCAAACTCTGCTACCCTGTGTTAAGGAAAGAGTATTCCTCCTAAGGTGAGACTAGACGCCAGAGCTGCACAGACTAAAACAACAATCAAAGGAAAAAGCTGGAGGAGGGGAGAAGACCAAGGAGGAAAGGTAGGGAGACTGAAGAAAAGCTCAGCATTCACCTAGGCCCAAATCTTGCCAATATCCAGTTGCTTCTTCTGTCCCCTTTAGCTGTCACAGTTTTCTTCACAACCGGCTCATGAACACAAGAACATGCACTGGCTACTCCCCACATCACAGCCATCCTCAGACTAAGGGCAGTGGAAAACATGACTTGGCTTTTGGTACAATTTTAAAGCTAATGACTCTTCCCAGTTTCCACTGATACTGGAAAGGAGACCTGCATGGGCAGGGCTGAGCGTGCTGGCTGGGCAAGACCTTGCTCTCCCCTCACACTGCATGTCTCCTGGCTTAGAGTAACTCACTCTGGAAACTACTCAGGCCAGCAAGAAGCTTGCATCTCCAGAGGTGCTCAGCACTGGCTTCATACAGAGCTTTGCACAACAGAGCTGGTCCTCCTGTGAGCTACGTCAGCCTCTTCTCCTTCCATGCAGGGAGAAATGGAGACAGAGGAGCCACTGCGGGAATTAAGCCCCCATTGCAGTGCAAGTTGTTTTGGCCGCAAAACCCAAAGCTGCCCGAGGGCGCAGGCTGGCACAGAGCAAGCTGAGGGAAACCTCCAAGGTGCCTTGGCTTCCTCTGTTTAGAAATCGCCGCTGAGACCAGCTCCCAGAGCAACCTCTCCTTGCACCAGGAGCTCTCATCGTGCCTGCTTAGAAAAGCAGCAGAGCAGTGAGCCGGGTGAGTGCTTTGGCAGGGCATGGATTTCGCTGGAACTAGAGGTATTTCCACCATTCTCTGGAAAGCACTGGAAAATAAGAGATGGCATAGCTGTAACAGCACCACATCTCCATCACCTAAACCAGATATTTATACCACTGCAATTACTCACGACATGCGCAACCAAAGCACTGTCAGTGCTTTGCCAGTAGGTTATATTTGAGTATCAGTCATCTGTGGAGTCACTTACTTACGGCATTCAGCCAAACACGTTGCAGCCTTCAACAGATTTGGCTGGGCATGGCAAAAAACAAACAAAAAGAAACAGAGAAGGCCCAGTGCCACCATTGTTGAATTAACAATTAATTTATAGCTCCTGCTGCGTTGCTCTCGAGCTATTTCACAGCTGGTGCTGGCATGGGTGGGCTCAGAGGAAACCGGAGCGCTGAGGTGATGCATATGGGCATGCTGAGCTCTTTCCAGGGAAAGTTGCAGGTTTAAAGAAGGAAAAATTATGCTCTGATCATGTCCAACCATGTCCACTGTCCAAGCATCTGCTAAGGGGGGCTCACCATAATGGCAAGCAACCTGTGTCTCCCCTCAGGAGCTTCTCAGATAGTCTCTCCAGTGACCGTCTGGGACCTGTCATTGCTTTTTCATGCTGTGTAACACAACCAAGCTGCAGGTTGCAGTGGGTCAGGCTTTTCCCTTGGCTACTGCTTCTGGAGGGCTGCTTCCGAACTGCACTCACTCTTGGTGGGGACCTCCCCGTCTCCGTGACCAGTTCCCATCTGTTCATTCATGTGCCAACATTGTCTTTTAGCCAAAATGGTTTCTCCCTGTCTGATCCCCCCCATTCCACTTCCAGACTATTTGCAGGCTGCAGCCGTGCCCCTCTGAGCCACCACTTTGCCAGGCTAACCAGGCCAACCTCTGTAGGATGAACAGTGTCCCTTCCCTGTGCCACATTAATGGATCATCTCTACACCTCTTCTTCTCTGAATTAGGCTTTCTTAAATACAGACTCTGGAAACTGTGCAGAGCACTTAGCTAGGGGCTCCCTAGGAAAAAGCATCCCCTCCAACTTGTATTTACCACTTTCCTGGCTGTCTGCTTGGTGACTTATATTTATCAACTACTACAGGGTTTTGGAAGACAGTAAAGAGAAAAAAAAAATCTGCTTACAACTGCCTCATCAGGCTTGGTTTGCCTCCAGCCACACTGCAGGCTGTCCCACCTTTCCGGCAGGAATGTCCTCACGAATTATTGTTGGGGCCAGCAACAAGGCAATTGCGTTCTCAGCAGCAAAAGCCATTCAAGCTTATCCTACGGGAACAACTCCTTACTACTTAATTTGATCTGTTGTTCCTCATTTAGCTATTTAGCCACGGGACAGACTCCTTGCTACTCTTTCATCCTCAGCTAACAGTAAGCAGGAGACGTCAACAGCTCTCAGGTATTTACTGAGGCATTTGGGGGTGCCTGGGAGGACTCCAGCCTGAATCGCACCAGCAGCCACAGTCATGCACCCCAGCCTGAATTTAACCAAAATAAGAAGAACCAGATTCTCTGTTTTTCATGGCCAGGGTGGCCCCCTCCTACACTAATCCTGCAGCAATGTAGGAGAAGTGGAGCCCCCTCTGGGGAGAGGTTTGCCTACAGCCACTTCTTAAGAGAGGCAGAGATTGAAAAGTTGCACTGGGGAAAGAAACAGGAGGAGTAAAAACATTTTGGGGAGCTGTCAATTGACCAGTGATTTGATGGTAGAAGAATTTTAACCAGTTCCATCGGATTTGGAAGCCAAAGAACTCATGATTTTTGCCTTTGAAGCAAGAAACACAGGTTCCCACCATATTGGAGGAAAAAAACAGCCTATGGAAAGAGAGAGGCAGCTCGGAATTATGACAAGGGAAATAAAATAAATTTTGCAAGGCCAGCAACGATACAGGGTCTTTGCAGCAAGGGAAAGTGCTTGCAGTCATGTCTCTTATTAAGCACTCCATTTTCTGGGTAGTGAATGGCAACTCCATGACCATCTCCTCACCACCCGCTATTCAACAGCTCAGTAGCAAAGAGGATTTACCTTGCTTACATTCAGATTGTGCCATGAATCCTTGAGCATAGGAAGTGGTGCCACTTAATAGAAAGTGCTGCAGAGCTCCTCCTTGAGTCCCTCACGGGTGGCAGATAGGCTCTGATTTCTCCCAATTATCCCCTGCCCCAGAGTTTCCTACAGGCTCTGTGCTCCCTTGATCCTAGGCCCAGATCAGAAGGGTCCCGCCTCAGCTGGAGGATCCCCGCGGTAAGGGGCAAGCAGATACTGCTTACGGCATGATTCAATGCTTTATTATTTTGTAGGCCAGTTTCTTTATAGGCCCAAGCAAAGGTGCATCAAGTACCAGGAGATGCAAAAGTCAGAACAGTGAGGTGGCCCTGCAAAGCTTTCATGTGCAGCGATTTCAGGATGCTTTGCCATGTGCCCTGTTGGCCAAGGGCAGCAAATGACCCTCACTGATAGATAAACTCTACAGCAGACTGGTGGCCGAGCACATAATAATTGCATCTACAAACTGCTTTGTCATGTATCCCATTTCTTGCATTTGGCCTACCTGACTCCAAAGAGGACTTGCAGCAGGGTGCAAATCCCTGAGACAAAGAAGATCGTGCTGATCAGGTGGCTCTGGGTGAGGAGGTCATGCTGGAGGCAAAGCTCTTTGGAGAGGATCAGCGGGATGGCTACGAGACCTCCCATGGCTGTCAGGAAATGCTAGGAGCCACAGAGAAAGACTAGGTGAAGGACACAGAACTGGCTATCTATTATTCCCGTGTTGTTGAGGGAAATCTAAAAGTAACTCACAGATCTGTGTTTGGGTGATGCTAGTATTACCCATTCTCTTTTTCAGCAACTTTAATGCTCTGTTAGGGGCTGTTCCAAAGCACCTACAAGAACTGCAATGCACCCCCCACAAACTTCTCTCTTTCTCCATGCCCAAAGACCTTTTGTAGTGCTCTGGGCTTCCCAGATTGCTGTCAGATGCAACAAGTTTATCCCCAGCACTTGCAGATAAAACTGCTGGGGCTACTCTTCCAGGAAGGCAGAGACATCCCAAGGCAGGGGGAGAGAGTGATCAGGCAAAGCAAATGCAAATGTTTCAATCTGTTTCATTTGGACCACAAAGGATAACATGAAAAGTTGGCAAATCTGAGCTACTCATTCTTTGCTATCAGTAGTTTTTCTCATATAGTGCAATTATGGATAACCATAAATATGAGATAAATCAGGCATTGCATTTTTCTGAAGTCACTACAATGACCTTCAGTTAATTACTAAACGCAAAAATTATTTTTCAAACTTATTTTTTGTTTCAAGTATTAACCTTAATTGTGGTAAGTAAGGAGCAAGGCAAGGTTGTTTCAGTCTGTATCACTTCCCTGTTCTCACCTTGGAGCACAGGACTGCAGTGGTAGAACTGGTATCACTCAGAAACTCACTGTGCTCATTAGAGGCATGTTTTATTAGAATTATGATGCAGATGTGTTCAGAAAATCTTGTCTTAATACACTCTACATCTAAGATGATCATTTAAGGAAACACAGTACAAAATGCCCACCAAGCTCCATGCACAGTCCATTGCTACCTTCATCACTCCGAGGTCTCTCTTCCCTGAGGCTCTGTACCCAGTGTGGCATTGGTGGCATTGGGTCATTTAACACATCTAGATATAGACACCAGCCAAAGCAGCACGGACCCTTCTGCTTAGTTTTTATTGCCATGGGAAGGCAGAAGTTCAGAAGCCCTTAGACATTTGTCTAACTTCAGCCAAGGTGTCCGACCCGTTCTTATTAAACATCTAGCCCCAGCCCTGGGACTCTGCCTTCCTATTTTCACTTCAAGGGGCACGGCATATCTGTGGGCACAAGGATAACAGTCTGTACTTAGAAGGTGGTGGGGAGGACTTGAGGTCACCGAGATCAAGCCCCACAGCTCCAGTCATGCCTAGTGAAGGTAAAGCACTCCCAAATTCAGGTTTCAACCCCATTAACCACCTGAATAGCCATTAAACTTCCACCCAGCTCCAGCCTCCACCTGCTCCCCCATCATACCTGAATGCCCAGCAGGATGCACAGGTACCAGGGGGGCACCTCTGTGACAGTGTAGGCAAGCTTGATGCTGCCATGGTCCTTTTCCCCGCCTTCCTCTGGGCCCCGAGCACCGCAGTCCATAGAGGAGCAGTAGTGGCTCCCATCTTCACCCTGGCAAACAGGAGAGACTCTTTGTTAGCCACAGCCCAGCCCCACAGGCACCTAGCAGCCATCTCGCTTGTGGCCGTGCTCATTGTCTTGTGGGAACACCTCATATGTAGCTTTCAACAAGGCCAGGATTAAAAAGAAGAACAAGGGGGGAAATTAAAATAGAGGTAAAAACACCTATGGAAATTTTTTATATGCATGTATGTGTCTAGACCAGTACAAACATTAAATGATGTCTCAACCTCAAAGGGACATCTGGACAAAATGTGTTAGTTAAGGATGGAGAAACTGCAACCAGAAGCAAGAAGGAGTATACAGTGGGATAATCCATGAAAGCTGCACTGTCCCCTGGTCTCTATCTCTCCTAGCTGTCTCATCCAAATAGTGCTTTTGATAAAATATCCTAAAACTTGGCTGCCACTATTACAGAGTAGAAGCATTTTCTTAAACTTTCTCTTTTGTATCTCCTTACACTCACCCTGTTGTGTTGGAAATCTAGTTTGTATGCAGGGATATGGTTAAACGGATTTAGCTTGGTGACAGGAATTTAGCTTGAACATTTAAATGACGTACTGCTACTGCACAGGTGACAGAGGCTTGGCTGACTATACCTTAAAAGTGGGTACAGTTTATTGCGTCCATTGAACCATAGCCCCCTGATCAAGGACTGAAGCAAGAAAAAAAAGAGAAGAAAAAATGGAGTTGGTGAAATTCTGGAAGATATCCCAAGATAGAGGGCAAACTGTTAGGAACACAGTAGGCTGGACCATACCCACGGTGTCCTTAAAAGACTCTTGACCATACATGGTCAGTTTGAGGAGGGGTCGGGACCCTCAAACGACCACCAGAGACTGTATGAGACCCCCAAGCATGCGCACATCGAGCCTCAACCGTAAGTCAGCATAATCCAAATTAGTTTTGACTATGTCTTAGCTAGATGATGAATAATGTATATTTTAAAGAATCATGTATGTTTTGGAACATAAATGTGACCAGCAGATGTGTCCAGGTGTGCTTGATTTGTGGATTGATTCCACTGATCACCCAGGCCTAAATAAAAGTAATATCTCTCCTGAGTGCGTGGAAGTGGTTTATCGCACATCGGGTAAAAAATCGGCTTTTAGGACAACAACCCTTACAAATGTTCTGCCTTGATAAGTGCGCCTGCACTTTGTCTTACCAGAAAACCTCACTCCTACAGAGGAACTGGATGAAACGCAGCAACACCAGCAGACTGGGAGTCCCAGTGTCCATTTCAAAGGAGCCAGCTCAAAGCAGGGCTACCGGGGTGCTGCCCCAGCTTGGCCACCTGCCGTGGGGAATGGGATGCTGGGGTAGGGGCAGCACCTGGGAGCGGGAAACAGCCTGGGGACCCAGGGCCTCAGAAGAGTGGAAAGGTCTGAAATAGCTCCCAGGAAGGCTCAGATCCCCTCCCAGACAGCCAGAAGCCCCAGGGCTCCCCAGGGAGCTGTACGCCTTGCAGAGTTCGTTTACACAAAGACGTGTTTTGCGAAGGAAAGCAAAACACTGCTTTGCTTCTGTTGCCACAGCTTTTAAGGAAGCAAATGCTCCCAATTGTCCGCCCCTCCTTCCAATCCACCCTGATCCCTGTGCACACACGTGCATACACGTACACACACACACATTGCCTGGGCACACAGACACACCCCACGTGCATGCACACACACACACACACACACACACACACATGCTGATCCTGCCTGTGTGTACACACAACCCCCTGCACACACACTTATGGTAGAGGGAGGCTGCCTGGGAAGCCACGTTTTGAGCCAAATGCAAATGCTAATTAAGATCCCAAACCATTTGTTTCATCGACATTTCTCCAGCCAGCGAGTCCTTGGCACACCAGCAGCAGGGGGTTTTTCTGGGCTGGGATGCCCTGCTGTGTCAGGCAGGGCCAGAAACCTGCTGTCAGGAGAAGTTCAACAAGTTTATCATCACTAAACTTCTTTGTTTTTTTTTTAATCCTCCAAGTCCTGCTGGAACCTGAAGACATCAAAATGCCCTCAAAGTGAGGTGGCTGCAGTAACGCTCATGGCCTATGCACTGATGGAGGCAAACAGCTAATGCTGCGGTCAGGGTATAGGGATGTAAAATTAATGTTACGTTCACTTGTAAATTTTGCAGGTGTGGCAGATTAATCCTGAAGGACTTCATCATTTGCCTGAAACCTCCAGGCTTCCATTTTCATGGCTGAGTCTCCAAAGTCCCATTTTGGTCATGCTGTTGAAAATATGCTATGTAATACCTTTTAAACATAGCATATTTACCCAGCCTAGGCAGGCTGGGAGCGTTACACATACTTCAAAATAGACATGTGAAGGCAGAGTTAATTCAAACTGAACTCGGTCATGAACTTCAAGAGCAAAAGGCATTACTCCCTGTGGAGACATTTTAATTTCAGAATAAGAGAGCCTGAGCCATGGATTAACAAACGTACAGCGCAGTACCTAAGACTGCCCATGCACAGAGTTATTTGGGGACAGCTACTCCTGAATAACACCACGGGTAGATGAATCCTAAGCTAGGCAGACAGCAGTAAGCTCCTTTCCTTGCATTGCAACTTTTCCCGTGCTAACCAGGAGGCATATCGCAGCCGGGCAGAGCCTGTGCCAGTAACAGCCCCACATGATCGTCACATGAAGGCCTGATCCTCCCCAGGAGCTGGAGGGGAGCGAGCAAGCAGGGCTCAGCAGGAGAAGGATGGAGTGGAGATAACAACATGAGACAGGACCAGAGGCAATGGGCTCAAACTGAAAACCAGGAGCTCCTGTCTTAACATCAGGAAACACTTTTTCATTGTGAGGGTGATCAAGTACTGCACAGGTTGCCCAGAGAGGCTGTGGAGTCTCCATCCTTAGAGATACAAAAAAATATCTCTAGACAGTCCTGGGCAACTGGCTCTAGGTGACCCTGATTGAGCACGGGGGTTGGAGAAGTTGACCTCCAGAGGTGCCTTCCTACCACAGCCAGCCTGTGATGTTGAGATGCTGGCAGGGGCACAAGGCAGGATCAGTCTGGAACAGGGATGGGGAACCACTACTGGTGGTTCTCAGCCCAGCTGCTGTCAGGGGACCAGGACTCCCTTCGAGTGCCTCAGGCTCCAGGCACAACATCAGGGCCCTCAACAGCATCTTAAATAAGCACATCAGGAAGGCAGTCAGAAACTGAACTGCTTGAACCACAGGCAAAAGACCTCTGTCTTTTACCTTTTTTTGGGGTGATTCAAAACAGAGGAAGTCACAAGCCTGATCTGCATTTTGGCAGAACAGGTAGGAACGGAGACCCTGTTAACAATAACACAAGAAAACCTCTAACTTGCTCAGAGCACCACCCTGAGGCTCTGCCCACCACCCTGAGGCTCTGCCCACAGCTGGCACAGCACCCCCACTTCCACTGCTCACAGCGAGCTCACCAAGAGTCGTCCAAGAAATGGGAGACTTGTACACCGGGAGGTTAAATGCCTCCTCCAAGGTCCCCCAGGCGCGTAGGCTGTACCAAGGTAGCAAAATGGTTGCAGGACCCCACCCCTTCACACCTGCTGTCAGAACATAAGCAGCTCTTTTAGTTTCTAATGGGGTGACCCCTGCTGTGAGATAGGAAGGTGGCTGCTGTGCCCCAGGCCCTTTCCTATGGCTGTTATAGCCCGAAGCATTTCCAGTGCACTGCACACCCCTGAACTGACACATCATTTGCAGCTTTCACTACCCTGCTATAACTCCACAGGGTGACCTCCTCCGCTGATTCCCAAATCCCTTTTTCACCCACCTCTCTGACAATTCATCCCACTAGAAACAGATCCAGAAGACAAAGAAATACATTCTTCACTAGGCTAAATTTCTATTGTAATTTTACAAATTAATACATAAAATGCTCTACCCAGGGACGCAGACAAAAGGAGCCGCGAGCTCGCTTGCTTTTCAGTACAGATACACTTGCACTGCCATTCATCTACACTATCCTTTTAGAAATAATTGAGAGAAAAGAAGTTAAAAGGGTGCCAGAGAGTAGAAAGCATGCTGAGTCTTCAGCAGCAGCAGCAGGCTGTAGTGGGGAAATCATTCCTCAGATTCCTGTCGATAAAGCAGCCGAGACAGACGTTTAGCACACCAGCATCCTTGCAGTCAGTCCGAGCCCCTGCCTTTCCCTTTCTCCTCCTTTTGCAGAGCTCACACACATTTATGCAAGAATTACCCTTCAGGGACAGCAGACTCACCACGAAGCTGGGGTTATCTATCCCGTTGAGCTCTTTGTCTGAGGAGGGGGTCATGACTTCCACTCGTCTTCACCGACTGCCTTGAAAAAGAAAGACCAGTAAGAAGTGGAAAGCCTCCCAAATTGCCACTTCTCCCAGTCAACACAGCCCGAAAGAAACGGTGAGAAGATGCAGAAGCTGGACTTCAGGAATCAACCAGCGCTCAGCCCTAGCTATTCATGTGAGCTGTATCGCAGAAGCATTTCCTTTCCCTTGGCTTATATAAGTGACTCCTTTTCTCCAGCTGATTAGAGGACCGGCATTCAAACCAAACTGGAAAGCAGCCCTTCCCTGGACTGAGTGAATCAGTAACTGATGGCAGAAAAAACTTCCTCTCTAGGTAAGGATGCAAGGGAGAGGTGAGACATTTCCCTGTTTTCCTGGCACAGCCTTGAAACTTGCTTTATTATTGATTCAGCAGCAACTTGCCTTTTCTTTGTGGGTTGGGCCTGTTTAAAGACCTTTGTGCTGAACTTTAGAAAATTCAGTTTCTAGATGGTTTCACTTATTCCTCATGTAAACTACTGTGTATTTTAGCTTAGGTGCAAACCACCATCTTGCATGATAAACCTATCACAACATGAAAAGAATGAGGATTTTACTGGGAACCTATTTAAGGCAGCAACCAATAATCAAGTTGTCAGAACATGACACCAGGGAGGTATAAAAGACAAAACATTGAAAAAGGACTACTTCAAGTTACCTGATTATCTCAGATTAGCTAAGGATCCTAGGTGATCATCAGATGGCCCAAAGCATAGTTACTCTTCTCTTCATAAGTAGCAAATGGTGTTAATGCTCCATCAAGACATTCTAGCCACCCCATCCCAGCCCTCCTCAGATTAAGTATCTAATTTAATGGCTTCCCAGACCAGCTGCAGAGAGCTCCTGTGGAGAGGGGCATGCTATCGCCTACACTCAGTGACCACCCATTGGGAGTATCTCCTGGTTTCCACACAGAAAGTGGAGCAACTGAAATAAACTCTGGTCCCTATTTCTCCTGTAGAGCTGTGGTATTCTCAGACCTTCTCTTCAGACCAGAACTGCATTACAGGATGAGAAAACCTCACCCTAAACACCATCAGTGAACCCAGTGAGCTGCTGAACAGATAAATCTCAAGGTATCAAAATCATCAGATGGTCATGGCTTTGCCAGATCTCGTCTCTGAAGTCCTATTATATAGGAATCTCCCCGTATTTTTAACTGCAGGGGATGCATTTCCAGCCCCACAGATACTGACATGAGGCTACTTTTTTTCTGCAAGCTCTAAACAAAAACTCTTTTCTTGATCAAACTAACCTGGATGCTTTCACCCTCAAGTCTATCAATTCCCAGCTCAGAGGGAGCAGCACAACCCCCGCCCTGTTGTACAGACTTACTCATCTCTTGTTATCCAGTGGACTGTATGGTTGTGGCTCATTGCATAGTTACTGTTTCACTGTATATATCGGCAGTGTCCATTAAGCAGCAGCAGTGAGGATGCAATAGCAGTGAGGATGCATCATTGCAAGGCTCTAAGAAAAGGATCATTGGATTTTTCTATTCCTTTTTGGAAGGTACATTCCTGCATGCATTTTTCAGTGGATACAGTGCGGTTCTCCAAGCAGCCATCTAAATCTGTCCATTCTGGTATCCTCCATTAACCCTCATTAATCAGCCGCTCTCTGTGCCTCACAATCCCTCTTGTTGTGAACTTTTGTGTCAAGCCATGCCAAAATATTCCTCTGGGGCTAGCCTGTCTCCCCAGTAGACTTTTATGAGACGCCTCATTAGTTCTCCACCTCTTAATTTCAGCCCAGCATCTGTTCAATGACTCCTCAGTCCTGCCGTAACCTTGTTTTCAGATGAGACCTAGTGTGCTGATTTTGGCTGGGAAGAGTTAATTTTCTTTATAGTAGCTAGTATGGGGCTATATTTCAGATTTGTGCTGGAAACTGTTGATAGTTCAGGGATGTTTTAGTTATCACTGAGCAGTGCTTGCACAGAGTCAAGGACTTTTCTGCTCCTCACACCACCCCACCAGCAAGTATACTGGGGGTGCACAAGAACCTGAGAGGAGACACAGTCTGCATCTCAACCCACGAGTTTTCTCACTTTTACACATCTGATTCTCTCTCCCATCTCACCAGGGCAGGGGGAGGGCTGGGAAGTGAGCAAGCAGCTGTGGGTCTTAGTTGCCAGCTGGGGTTAAACTGTGACAGTCCTTTTTGGCACTCAACATGGGGCTCGAAGGCTTCGAGATAATGACTGGAATATGCCAGATGGAATTTATATCTGTTATTGCTGTTTAGCTATTAATTGGCAGGCTCCTGTGCTTGCCATGGGGCTTGCTTGCCTTACTGTATCTTGGAGTCCAGTGCTTGTTAGTGGCTGCTTTTTGCTTACGCTGCTTGCTGTGCTGCTGTACTGCTTATCATCTTACTCTGCTGTGCCCAGGAACATTTTGATAACAGCAATGGCCGTGTACCTGGCCTGGCAGACGGCCAGGGCATCACTGCTACTTCTGTGCTGCTGTACCGGACAGGCTGGAACTCCAGTGTGAACTTGAGTCAAAGGGACTGTGACCTGCAGATGAGTCCATGTGGGAGCAGGACAGCCCGAAGTGTCTGTGGCCATGGATGAGTCCACAGAAGAGCAGGTACATCTCAAAGCGTCTGTGGCCGTGGTTATGTCTGTGCCACAGCAGGTATACCTCTGAAGGGACTGTGGCCCAAGGATAAGTCTGTGCTGCAGCAAGTACACCTTGAAGCATCAGTGGCTGTGCATGGGGTCATGCTGGAGCACCTCAAAGCCTGTGGCCATGGATAAACCCACGACAGAGCAGGTACGCCCCTGGAGGGACTGCAGCCATGGGTAAGGCCATGTTGGAGCAGGTTTACTTCTGAATGGACTCTGGCCATGGGGAAGGCCACGCTGGAGCAGATGCATCTCCAAGCGACTGTGGCTGTGGACAAGTCTATGCTGCAGCAGGTAGACCCCTGAAGAGACTGTGGCTCATAGATAAGGCTCCTCTTGAAGCAGGTACACCCCTAAGGGACTGCAGTCTGCGGATAAGTTCAAGCAAGAGCAGGGGCAAAGGGAGGAGTTCATCGCAATGTTAAACCCTATGGTCTGGTCCAAAGCGACCAGGGGTAGAGACTGTAATGGAAATACCTTTAAATTATTGTAACCCACAATTTGAGTTGCATGTTACAGGAATTACTATAGCATGAACCACCTGAACCAGTGGAGGACAAGCCTTACAAGATGCAGTGCAAATACAGCAGTGACCCGACCTGAGCTGGCTTTGGCACCCAAAAACTCCGTGTAACACACCACCTCTCCTGTCCTGAGTGACCACCACAACAGATAGAGCCCAAAGTCACAGAATAAATGAATCCAATAGACATTTTGTGGACATTTGTGGACACTTATAGACATTTCACAGGGGTGGTCCATAGACTAAGGGAATGATACCTGTGTATTTTGTCAAAGGATGGGAAGATGGGTGGTAGTTAATGCGGTTGCATTGAATAGTGTAAGACCTGAGCATAACGTAAATGGCATGGAATAAGGGATGGAGAATGTGCTGGGTTTGGCTGGGATAGAGTTAATTTTCTTCATAGTAGCTAGTAGGAGGCTATGTTTCGGATTTGTGCTGGTAACAGTGTTGATAACTGAGGGATGTTGTAGCTATTACTGAGCAGTGCTTACACAGAGTCAAGGGCTTTTCTGCTTCTCACACTGCCCTGCAAGCAAGGAGGCTGGGGGTGAACAAGAACTTGGGAGGGGACACAGCTGGGACAGCTGACCCCAACTGACCAAAAGGATATTCCGTAACATATGATGTCATGCTCAGCAATATAAAAACTAGGGGAAGAAGAAGGAAGTGGGGGACATTTGATGGTGTTTGTTATCCCAAGTAATGGTTATGCATGACAGAGCCCTGCTTTCCTGGAGATGGTTGAACATCTGCCTGCCAATGGGAAGTGGCGAATGAATTCCTTATTCTGCTTTGCTTGCACGTACTGCTTTCACTTTACTTATTAAACCGTCTTTACCTCAACCCACGAGTTTTCTCACTTTTACTCTTCTGATTCTCTCCCTCATCCCACCAGGGGGGGAGTGAGTGAGCAGCTCTGTGGGGCTTAGTTGCTGTCTGGGGTTAAACCTCGACATAGGCATTCAGTAGCCAGGGTTTCTTCTTCCCTTTGGTTCTATGAACTTCTGTAACAACCCAAAGGTGCAGGTGCATAACAATGCCTGTGTCACCTAGACCAGCATGTGAAACTACTCATGTAAAGAGTATTAAGTGAAAAGGATGAGAAGAACAAAAAAATAACAAAAACTCATCAGTAACAACAGCAACCCCTTTTCTCAAAAGAGCTGGGCAGAAAACAATTTTGCCATTCTGGGAAACTCTGCAGTGCAAAAAATTTGAAAACTTGAAAAGTTCCAAGAGATTGCAGGTTTTAATGAAAACACAGGAAATAAGTCCTACGTAGCCAAAAGCCTGGACATCAGAATAGGGCTGTTAGGAATGAAGAGTTTAATAGTATCAGCCTCTGGCCAATGGAAGGTTAATGCTGTAATATGGAATCTAGAAGGTGGTTACAAAATAGCACAATGTACATGCCAAAGCAGAAATTTATGGAGTTCATGTGAAATGCCCTGGCCTGCAATATCCTGCCCTCAGAAATAAGCAAAGCAAGTAGGAAATCTGTGTGCACGCAAGTGTCTGTGTACATCATATGTATATGTACATGTGTATGTTTGTGTAATAAATTACTAATCTGTGAGGGTTTTCAGAACAAGGAATTATTCAATTAGCAAAGATACATGCTTAAGCGGTAATGTCAATTACTGGTTATTGATGACAGCCTAAGCATTGTATGAATGGCTTTTAGGAATAAATGGGCAGGTATCCACCTGTTCGAGTTATTCATGATGTATTAGGAAAGAAAATTTTAAAAATATAATAAGGATTCCCTTTAGACTTGTGTGTCTGGCATATCTCCTGCACCAGCCAAGTTAC